CTGATAGACCTGCGTTCTCGGCACCATTCGGATAAGCGGCGGTTCTGCTGGTTCGGTGAGCTGCTTCCTTGCTGTGGCTTTGAGGGCACAGACTCCCCAGGAGTGCTGTCAGCAGAAGCACGGCATCGACCGCCATTCTGACAGCAGACTCCAAGTCCAGCCCTCCGGGGCCGCTGCCGGGCACCCGGTGACTCCCGTATCTCCAAACTCATCAAGCTGCGTACATTAGATACGCACAGCTTGTCCTATGTGAGTCACGCCTCGATAAAGTGGTTTAAGAAATCACTGACACATCGAACTGGTAAACTGGAGTAAGAGAAAAATACTGTCTCATACCCATTCTTGAGTGTTAGTGTTGTTCTCTGAACATTATTTCCTTTTCCATGTGTTAATTAATCCATTCCCAATGGTAAGGCCAATTTCTGTCCTGGGCCTGGAATAACAGGTGACCGAAAGGGCACCTATGATGCTGTAATGTAGGTTTAATTCTATCTTTCCTAGCGGAAAACAAAAGGCCTGAATGCTGTTCCCACTATTAGCAGCTCTTAGGAAGCCCCAGGAGGGTGCCGGGGAAAACTCCACCCTGGTAGCAGGCACGGCTCGGAGCCCTGTCTGCCACCCGGGTGGCGAACCACTCCGGGAAGATGGAATTGGCATGTGCCTGCAGCGTGCACTTGAACGTCCGCACTGAGTCTGCACTAACTTTCTCCTGAGAACTAACACGTCTAACAGCAAGGAAAAAAAGTCACACGTAAAAGGCGAACCAATATCATCAGGGAGGCGGTGGGAGGCCAGTGCGGGGCTGCTGAGCATGGAAAAGCCTGTTGAAGGCTGTCGAGCTGCTGGCTTAGCTAACGGACCAGGATGAGGAAGAGGGTGTCTGTCGGCCCCCTGAACGGCAGGAGCTGAGGGCAGGAGGGGGGACCCGACACGGAAAGCTGGCCATCGTGTCCCTACAGGGCGAGGCCCTCCCATCGCCATGTGGCAAACTGGCGCAGCCCCGCTCTGCCTATCCACAGCCTGTCAAAGAAATCCTGTAGGCTTTCTTTTCTGGAAATCCGCAGAAAATGGTCTGAACAGGGGGCTCTGCTGCTCGTCAGGGACGCCAGGGACGAGGGACACTAGGTTCTCCCCGCTGAAGTCAAATGCCACCTAATGGCCACGTGAGGCTCTCCCCTGGCATCTTCTTAAAGAAGTCTCAAAAGCATCCCTGACAGGGGAGGTAGGTGGGTAAAACGGGGTCAAACATAGTGACACAAAGAAATCTCACTATGGGCGGTGAACACACAATGCAATGTACATATATGCCTTACTGTTGAATTGTACACTTAAAACTTACTGGATTTCCTTAACCTATGTCACCATAATTTTAAAAAAGTTAAAGTAAAAATAAGTAAATAAATTTTTTTTTTTTAAATCTCCAGTGTGACACGCTGGGGACACACTGCCACCTAAGGGGCATTGCTGCCAAAAACGTTTACCTTGACTATTTTCATAAGGAAACAATCAGAGCAATCCAAACTGAGGGACACTCTGCAAAACGACAAGCTTGAACTCTTAAAAAAGTCTGTGTCATAACGGGTATTTTTAAATGCTGGAAACTGTTCAGGATTTAAAGACCAAAGCGACATGACAACGCTGTATAATGTATGATCCCTGATCTGGACCCTGAATTCTCCTGATCCCCCAGAGGGAGGGAAAGCAGAGGCTATAAAAGACGCTACTGAGATAATCAGGGAAATCTGAACACAGACTGTACGTGAGGTAACAATATTCTGCCAACATTTAATTCCTTCGGTGCGATGACGGTGTCATGGCTACGTAAGAGGATGTTCTTGTTCTTAGAAGACACGTGTTTCGTGTGCTTAAGCATGTGGGACACGATACTGGCAACGAACTCAAAAGTTCACGGAAAAATATCTGCGAGTGTGTGTGTGGAGAGGGGGAGAGAAAGAGAGAGAATGATGTATGGTAAAGGTAAACAACTGGTAAATCTGAGTAAGAGATATGTGAGTGTCTGCTGTAATATTCTCGCAACTTTCCTGAAGTTTAAAAATGTTTCAAAGTAAAAAGTGAGGGATAAAAAAGTAAGTCGAGTGTAGGGAGAAAGCCACATGTCTCCCAGACACCAGACCCTGGGCTTTTGGGCTGCCTGCCGCGTGGGCCATTCTGAATCAGGCAAGTGCGAATCACTGAGGACAGCTCCTGGCGCCGATTCCACAAGTCCAGGCAGCCTATTCCTCTAGCTTTCAGCCTAAAATGCACATTTCAGAGGGAAAAAACGGCCAAAACGTTCACTGGACGTTACACTTGAGTATTCAGTGGAAATAAAACTGGCAATCGGCTGAAGCTTCTTTAATGGCAACAACGTGTTTAAAATTTACCTGACGACAGGTCATAAAGCGCAGTGACGGAAGTTATGAACTGGCAGCAGAAGCGAGGGCTGGCACTGAATATCTGCTTCAGCGTCTGGACGGATCCCGGCACCAGGCAGCAGTAGTCGTCCACGAGGGCCCTGGCTAACCTCACGCAGTAGACCACGGGCGTCCGCTGGAAAGAAGCCACATTCCACGTAACTACAGGTGTCGTCAACTGGTATACTAGCAACTCTGTGCAACCGGTGAAGGCCACCAGAGCTGGCAGAACCCTTCCAGGAGCGGTAAAGACGTTAACAGCCCGCTCTGAAGCAGCAGCTGGCAAACTAAAGCCCACAGACCAAATCTATCCCGTGCCCTGTTTCTGTAAGTGAAGTTTTACTGCAACACTGCCCTGCTCCGCTTGCCCTTGCGTTACAAGGACAGAGCTGAGGAGCCGTGACAGACCGTATGGC